GGTGGGATGGGTTAGCCTGGTGATGGGTATTAAGGAGGGCACGTTCTGCATGGAGCACTGGGTGTTATGCACAAAGAATGAATCATGGAACACTACATAAAAAACTAATGTATGGTGATTAACATAACAATAAAAAATTAAAAACAAAATAAAAATGAGTATAACTATATCTCAGAGTTGTTAAGAGGGTTATAATGAGGCATTCCCTACAAGGGCTTACTACCATCCTTGCCTGGCATTCAGTAAGGGCTCAATATATGTGGTTGTTATATTAAAAACATTTTCTCAAGTATTTATGGTTAGGCACTAGGTCAGGTACATTTACAGAAGCATGTGTATGTGTGTATGTGTTTGTATATGTACATATACTTTATCTGCTTCCAGTTTATTTTTCTTTCTTCACTTCCTTGCAAACAGAGAGGGAGTGGTCTGTGCAAATGTAGGACTTTAGACGAAGTATGTCTTTATAGAAAGGGTTGAAAATGGCCATCTTCTTGTGTTTTGTGTTGGTCTGAGGAAAGAATGGAATATGGCTAAGAATAGTTCTGGTACAGTATACTCTTGGCATGTTTGAAGTCCTGTGGGGAGAAACGGCTACACAATTAATAATAATCTTATCTTATGATTCTCTTTTTATTACTTGTCATTGCATCAGTTAAACTAATACCAGTATAACATTGTCATACTTAATATTGAAATCTGAAATGTGTGACTGCTTAAGGCAGGGAAGAAGAATGAACGCATGTATTTACTGAAATGCTGAATTTTTATTCATAGCCTTAGCATTTCCAGGTCATGTGGCTGCCTTTAAGGGTGATTTGGAAATGCTTAAGAAATTAATAGAAGACGGAGTAATCAATATTAATGAACGGGATAATAATGGATCAACACCTATGCACAAAGGTGAGTTATGATTCCTGCTTCATTTTCAGTTCTGACACAATTACTGTTGCAGTTATTTACCTTTTAAAATGTAAAACTTTTCCTAATACCCTAAGGGATATCAGTCTACCTTATATGGTACACAGAGTACTTAATTTTCAATTCAATTGTGATACTCCTTTTATGATGCTAGAAATTCACTATCCCATTTAGGGTAATTCCAGTGGAAAATCTCTTAAGACATTGACATGATAAGATATGAAATTCACTGCTGGAGAAGTTTCTTGGGACTAATATTTTCTTTGGAGTAAAAGTGATCTATTAATTCTTGCTAAAGCATGAAAAAGGTATAGCAGAATTTGGAAAAGGTATAGCAGAATTTTCTTCTTGTACTCTGCAAAAATGTTTTTACTTTTACGGAAATACCGTTGAACTTTAGATTTAAACACATTTTCTAGATGTCCGCCACTTTTGTCTGCATTCTCTCTTTCCTTCTCTGTGGAATTCTAAAATATTAATTAATCAGACTTTGTCAAATTGTCAACTCCTTATTTGGGAGTTCATACTCTAGGATTTATTCTTGCCAGTCTTCCTTTTATTTATAAAATCAAAAACCAAATCTTTAACCTAATGCATATGAAATTTCCATTCTGCTTCATTTGTGATATTATAAGTCATTTCATAATGTAATGACAGCTAATTCTTGTAAAAACGTTAAAGGGGCATCTGGCCAGCTCAGTCAATAGAGCATGTGACTCTTGAAGGTTGGGGTCATGAGTTCTAGCCCCACGTTGGGCATAGAGATTACTTAACCTTTAAAAAAAAAGGTTAGAGTAAAAAGACAGATAAGGTAGTTAATGCAGTCCTGTGTTCAAATTAGATTTTATTTTATAAATAACTTCTGATGGTCCCAATCACAGATTATGTTACTGTTGGTTAGGTTCTTAGTTTAATTGGTAAAGTTGGTTTACTTCATAATGAATCTCCAGTATAGAATCTAAACATCATGTGTACCAATAGTTTTATAAGAGAGGTTAGGTGAAATAAGAAGAAGGGGAATGCAAAGGGGTTTTCTCCTACACACAGAGAGGTTCCTATTTTGGCAAACACTCTATCCTAGACTTGGAAAATCTTGCTCTTCCATCTTAGCTGGCTGTCTAGGGGTTTAACTCTTCACCATGGTATTTGTGAATGGGGAGGAAACTTAAAATGTGTGCTATGTATATGTATATATATATTTTAAAATGTGGTGCCCTGGAGCGAAGCCCCCATTTCATATCCTAGATATAACCACTTTTTATTACTAACGTATATATTGGGTATCATTCAGACACTGTAGCAAATATAAGTGTGATCGTGGTGCTTATATTGCATCTTCACAGGAAGAATTAAGTTTCATTGATGGCTGGTTTTCAGCCTTTCTCAGTCATTTCTTCGCCACTGGAACTAAGATTGAAATGAGGGATCTGGAAGTAGGTTCTAAAGGACTTGATATATAACAATAGGGTATTTGGGATGCAGCCATTGTGAGAAGATACGAGGGTGAATTGAGGAACCAAAAGTGTTTGCCCTTCACCCCTTGTCTTGTCAGTCTGTCCATTGAGGATTCCTAGGGCCAGGGGTGGATCAGGGGGTGTGATAGGGGGGTGATAAGTGGCAACAAGTAGGGGAAGGGGTGTTTTGTGTGCATTTGCCTTTCCTGGTGAACATCTGTATGTTTAGATTATATCCAAATTGGGTAAATAAAAGTTGATGTCACTTTATAACTTAACTCACATTTTCCACATTTATTAATCTCTCTGCTTCTTTTTCTTTAATTTTAATTTTGATTCAGTAAATAAGTTGTGGTGTTTATTATTGAGGCATTCTTCTTAGTTATTTAATGATTGTTAAATCCACTGTGACTGCTCCTTTCTTTCATTTGCTAAGCCATAAGTATTTCAAAAGATTTCTTAAAAATTTCTAGCCACAGCATAATTTTATCTGTTCTCTTATAAAACACTGATAAAATTAATCGACATATCCTAACCAATATACAATAAGGATCTTGGGTAAAAATCCTTTTATTGCATTTCATTTTAGAGAAATTACTTAGCCTCCCTTCCCCCTCTTTGTAAACATTACCTGTGTAATAAAATGGAAATGTTGGGTTAAACTCATTCTATCTTACATAAAACAATTATCCATGATTCGTAAATACCATTTTGTAACTCTTAAAGATGGAGTTTGTTGCTGTTTTTGTCTAAAGTGAGGTTATTTCTAGAGGTCTGGGAAATCGTGTACTTTTTTTTTTTAATTTTATTTATTTATTTGACAGAGAGAGACACAGTGAGAGAGGGAACACAAGCAGGGGGAGTGGGAGAGGGAGAAGCAGGCTTCCCACCGAGCAGGGAGCCCGATGTGGGGCTCTATCCAAGGACCCCGGGATCATGACCTGGGCGGAAAGCAGAGATATCTAATGACTGAGCCACCCAGGTGCCCCTCTTGTACTGTTTTTAACTGGTTTTGGATTTGCTCTAGGGGAGAGCAAGAAAGCCCAGGATTTTCAGGGGCCAACTCTGATGCCTCTGAGTGAACTAGAGAAGGGCAGAAGAGTTCTTACTTTGTCACTGTATCTGACTTTGTGTCCTCTTTTCTCTGTTGCCAGTATTGGAGGTGGATTCACATTTTGAGGCACTAGAGCTATACCAAAAGTTCCTAGTCTTTTTTTTTTTAATTTTATTTTATTATGTTAATCTCCATACATTACATCATTAGTTTTTGATGTAGTGTTCCATGATTCACTGTTTGCGTATAACACCCAGTGCTCCATTCAATACGTGCCCTCTTTAATACCCACACCAGGCTAACCCCTCCCCCCACCCCCTCCCCAAAAGTTCTTAGTCTTTGATTGATTTTACAGAGGCACTTAGAGTCAGCACCAATCATATGTCTGTACCACGTAGACATTATGAAATCTAGACCTTACTGTTAAGGAGCTACATACTTAAATAATGAACAACTAGAGATTTGTAGAAGTCAGGATGTAATTAATGGCAGGAAGTATTTGGTTCTTAAAATACATGCAGTAGGAATTCAGGAGTAGAAACTGAGGAACAGAAGTTGGTAAGGGTTAAATTATTAGAGAAGTGTTTGTGGGAATTCAGAAATAAACCTTATGTTTGTGTGATACTTATTGTAATTTTATGAACCCTCCTTCTAAATATGAAATCATCTCTGTAAAAGATGAGGAAATTGAGGTCCAGAGGGATCAGTTTTCTTGACTGAGCTTACATATCTGGTAAGAGCAAAGCTGACATTTTCTTAATATTTTCATTCACTTATTCATTCATCAACTTTATAGACATTTATTGAGGGTCTCTATGTGCCAGCCACTTGCTAAGTTCTGTCCTGTCCTCCAGTCTCACTGTTTAGTAGACCTAAAGTCAGTTAAATCTATTAAGTTTTTTCCCCCCAGTTTCCCTGAATCTTCAGACGGATCTAGAAGGATGGATAGAAGTTAGATGAACATATAGCTGAGTGCTGGGCACTAGGCAAAAAGACACATAAACAGAGTTGTGGTGGTGAAAAGTAATCCTGAGTACATGTGTTAAGGACAAGATTTAGAAAAAGGTGGTAAACAGTTCAGGTAATTACTGAGGGGCCTGTAAATTTTGAGTTGTGAGAGTCAGAAGAATAACCTGTTTACATGAGATGACACAAGATTTTCAAAGTCAGTGTGGGTCCCTGCGGCTGGCTTGTGCTCATATTCTGGTCAGATGCAAGATTCGTCAGAAGCTATAGATAGCAGTACATGAACATTGGATAAGGATTGGGAAAACCTAGATTATAGTTTCAAACCCATTACTTGCATGCTGCGTGATGTTAAATAAATAACCTCTTTGAGCTTCAACTTTTATATCTGTATGTAAAGTCCTCTGTATAGGGGCTGACTACAGTAGATTTTTGATTGTTTGTCTAATGAATAATATATACATAAATGAACAGAGAATAACATCTGCCCAACTTTTGTTGGTTATTACAAGGATCAGTATTTATGAATACTCTCTAATGTTATTGTCCAAGATATCAGACAATTGTTACTAATGACAATAACTTTTTGTGTGTATTTTCTGTTTTTTTGTTTGTTTTTTGAACAGCTGCTGGGCAAGGCCACATAGAGTGTTTGCAGTGGATAATTAAAATGGGAGCAGACAGTAATATTACCAACAAAGCAGGGGAGAAACCCAGCGATGTGGCTAAGAGGTATCCCTGTCTGCTTTACTACTTTCTTTTGTTTTTATGGTTTTGAATATACTCTCTTACTCAGAAAACTCTTAGGATTTAATGGAATTATAAGACTCCATCAAATGGTGATGGAATGACAATTTTTAAGCTGAATTGACATTTGATGATAAATCAGTTCTTCTCACTAAAGTAATGATTTTCTTTTTTTAAATTAAATTAAATTTTATTTTATTATATTAGTCACCATACAGTACACCATTAGTTTTTGATGTAGTGTTCCATGATTCACTGTTTGCGTATAACACCCAGTGCTCCATGCAGTACGTGGCCTCCTTAATACCCATCATCAGGCTAACCCATCCCCCACCCCTCTCCCCTCTAAAACCCTCAGGTTGTTTCTTGGAGTCCATAGTCTCTCATGATTCATCTCCCCCTCTGATTTCCCCCCCTTCATTTTTCCCTTCCTTCTCCTAATGTCCTCTGTGCTATTCATTATGTTCCACAAGTAAGTGATAATTGACTTTCTCTACTTGACTTCTAAGTAAAGTAATGATTTTCAACTGAGAAGTAGTATTGTCCCCTTTCCTGGTGGGGAGGGGGGATTTGGAAATGTGTGGAGGAGTGTCACAATGACTAGAGACCATCACTGATATATAGTGAGGTCAGGTCCAGGAATGCTAAACATTCTACAGTGCTTAGAACGATGGTACAGAATGAGAAATTGTGTCACCCAAATGCCCATACCTGTTGAGAAATACTGTGTGATTAAAAGGAATAATCAAAAGGAGTCACATAGGTTTTGAAACAAATTTTAATATTTACTTTTGAATTAAATATAACACCTGTTATTGAGCATCTCCTGCTCATTCAGGTCAAGTCCTCAAGGAAAATTTAGTCCCTCCATTTGTTCATTCGGTTGTTTTTCATTCAACTTTCTATATACTTTGCGTGTCCCTACTGCTATGGTTAGTATTAGGATTACAAAGATGAAAAAACACAGTCCTTGTCCTCAAGTCTACAATCTTGTAAAGAGACACTGTACATACATAATTATTACTAATTATAATCATCATAACATATTCCATGTTATGTCTAAGATACAATAAGAACATAGGAGAAAAAGTGCCCAGGTCTTCCTATTTTAAAGTTTTGGGGGAGTTAGGAAGGAAATTGGAGGGAAACAGGATTTATATAGAGGTCAGGGAAATTTTTTCTTTTTGGAGGAAGCAACATTTATGCTGTTGCTTGAGGGAGGAAGACTTGTAAGATAGTACCTTGTGTGTCTGAGGAACTTCCTGTGGTCCAGAACTGCTTGAATCTAAAGTAGGAATGCGGGCTAAAAGTTGCAAATGAGGCCCAACAGGATGCTAATCATTCAATGCTAATCATGCAGTGATTGCTCTGCAATTTTTAAGAGTTCATGTTCCTTACAGCATGGTTTTGTGGTACCACATACCTAGGATCATTATCAACTTAGGCCCACTTTATTTTTATTTTGGAAAACAGCTTTATCAAGGTTTAATTGGCATATGACAAAGTACACATATTTGTACAGTACAAACTGGTGAATTCTGACATATGTACCTACCCATGGAACCATTACTGCCATCAAGATAGTGAACATACCCATCATCCTCAAAAGTCTCCTTGTGCCCCCTTTGTAATCTCTCTCCCTCCCACTGTTCCCCACTTCTCCTTCCCCAAGCAAATGCTGATCTGCTGTCACTATAGATTAATTTGTATTTCCTAGAGTTTTATATAAATGGAATCATACAGTACGTACGCTTATATATCTGGCTTCTTTCACTAAGCATAATTATATGAGATTCTTTCATGTGTATTGGTAGTTCATTTCTTTCTTATAGCTGAGCAGTGTTCCATTGGCTGTAGAAAATTCCATAGTATTCCATAGTTTGATAATCTAGTAACCTGTCAGAGGACATCTTGATTATATCCATTTTTTGGTGATTATGCATAAAGCTGCTCTAAACAGTCATTACAGTTTTTTGTGTGAACATCAGTTTTCACTTCACTTGGGTAAATACTTAGGAGTAGGATTGTTGGGTCATCTGCTAAGAGTATGTTTAACTTTATAAGAAATTGCCATAGTTATGCCTTTGAAAGCGACCATGCTAATTTGTATTCTCACCAGCAGTGGATGAGAGTTTCTTTTGTTTCTTATCTTGCCAGTATTTGATATTGTTCATTCACCAAAGGAAAGTATACAAATGGCAAATACGTATATGAAAAAAATGCTCAAAATCACTTTCATTAGGAAAATGCAAATTAAAATTTTCACAATGAGATTCCACAATATATCTATTAGAATTTTTGTAATTCATGCACCAAAATGCCAGATGTGTGTGTAGTGTTATAGAAACACTATGAATCTGGTATAAAACAAGTACTCAGTAAATGATAGCTGTTAATTATAACCTAGTAGTAGAGATAATGAATTCAATTAACCTTACATCTTCCTAAGATGTTTGTTACTATATCTTTAATTATGTGTAGTACCTGGTGAAAGGTAAGGATATTTGTATGCATGTGGTTATATAAGTATGTGAAAAAAATAGGATTTGAGATTTTGTGTTTGAGTAGTTCTCCATGTCATAAGAGAAAACATTAAACATTTCAAATAGCAAGACTGTGAGAAAACTATGCAGATTACATGCAATCACAACAGCTTCATAGAGATGTGGGAAAGATCAAAGAAAATAGAAAACGTGGATGGAGAAGTCACTATTTTTTCATTAAATTTCAAAGCCATGCCAACTTTTTGGGTTGAGGAAGGTTGAAAATTAAGGGGCCTAGAGCTATAGTTAGCCCTGAAACTGGAACCAGAACTATTTCTGAAATCTAAATTTGGCCATCCAAAAAGGTAGTAAGTATAGGTAACAAGTAGGGTGGTTCTGGGCTTTCTATTCAGTTGAGCAGTTCTGTCTGGGGGCACCCCACGTATTCTTTTGATATTGGGTCTCCTCTCCCAGTTGGATTTTTGCAATAAAAATTATGGAATAGCCTTTACATGACGATTTGTCCTCAGTGTCCAGTAACTCTTTGAGCTGGATGTATGTTGAATTGTCACTGACCTTCAGGTGCAGTTTTGCTCCTTTACTGGTGTGGTTGGTGACATAATGTACAGAGTGTAATTCACTAAATTAAGTGCAAACTGCAGTTTCAATTTGAAGAACATTGTGAATCTTGTTAATTACTGATTCTTTCCTACAGGTTTGCCCATTTAGCAGCCGTAAAGCTACTAGAGGGGCTACAGAAATATGACATAGATGATGAGAATGAAATTGATGGAAATGATATAAAGTTTTTTTTAAGACATGGTGTTGAGGGAAGCACTGATGCCAAGGATGATTTATGTCTCAGTGAGTCGGATAAGACAGATGCCAGAAGTAAGTGTGCCAACTCTGTTGTGATTTATTGTTTAAGAAATACCATAGCCAGTTTTTACCACAAATCTAGAAATTATTCTAAAGACATTTACCATCTGCAAAGTAAAATACTTTGATATTTTTTGGGGGGAACCAGACCTAGTACAAATATTTGTACTAGGGGTTTTTGAACACATAAAGAGTGTAAGACATGATCTCTGTTCCCCAAGGAGGAAAAAGTTACATAGGAGGAAAAATTACTTAAGTGGATCATAGGAAACAGGGAAATAAATAAACATCTCAAGTATTTCCATGGTTAGTTGGCAAATGATTTTTACAGATAATAATAGCAAATATCTATTGAATATCTACCATGTGCCAGACAGTGTTGTATGCATGATCTCAGTGTTGTGGGATCGAGCCCCATCTTGGCTTCGCGCTGAGCAGTGAGTGTGCTTGAGATTCTATCTCTCCCTCTCCTTCTGCCCTCCCTGCCCCAGGCACATGAGCTTACACGTTTTCTCTCTCTCTGTCTCTCAAAAAAAAAAAAATCTTAAAAAAAGAGGATAACTGGGTGGCTCAGTTGGTTAAGCATCTGCCTTCGGCTCAGGTCATGATCCCAGGGTCCTGGGATCGAGTTCCGCATCGGGCTCCTTGCTCAGCAGGGGGCCTGCTTCTTCCTTTGTCTCCTGCTCCCCCTGTTTGTGCTTTCTTGCTCTCTCTCTCTGAGAAATAAATTAGTAAAATCTTTAAAAAAAAAAAAAAGACAGAACTGATAGGATTTGCTCATAGATTTGGATCTGAGGTGTTACAGAATGAGAATAATCAAGGTTGACTCTTAGATTCTTGGCCTGGGCTACTAGGTTGTGAGTTTTAAAAGACTGTTCTCTCAGGGTAGAGTAGCAGGGGAGGCTTTTCAGAAGTGGAATTTGGACTTTTCCTTGAAGGGTGGCCAGAATTAATTAATTAATTAATTAAATTTATTAGAGAGAGCATGCATGTGATAAAGAGAGTATAAGTAGAGGGAGGGGGCAGAGGGAGAGGGAGAAGCCGACTGCCCAGTGAACAGGGAGCCCAGCGAAGGGCTCAATCCTAGGACACTGAGATTATGACCTGAGCCGAAGGCAGACACTTAACCCACTGAGCTGCCCAGTTGCCCTGAAGGGTGGCCAGAATTTAGATAGGCAAAAAAATAAAAAAAGCATTCTATTTATCCAACTTATATTCCAATATATACTGTGTGCACAGCTCTAGGCTAAGGGACTAGAGCAGGACATCAGAAAAAGTCCTGCTTTCTGGAATTCAGAAAACATTCTGAACCTGCTCAATATAGTATTAAAATAAGTGACTGAAATTGTGCTTTATTAATTCTTTTTTTCTTTCCCATTATTCAACATAGGTTTATTGAATACCTGTTACACTGTTCTAGGTGTTAGGTTTACACTGGTGAACAGAGAGATAATTTTTCCATATTTGTATAATTCTTTTTTTTTTAAAGATTTTATTTATTTTTTTTAAGTAATCTCTACAGCCAATGTGGGGCTCAAACCCACAACCCCAAGATCAAGAGTCACATACTTTACTGACTGAGCCAGCCAGGCAATCCCATATTTGTTTATTTCTTAAACTGGCTTGATTTTTTTTACTTTTTCAAGCTCTAAAGGTCTTGATATCCGCTCTTTGATTCCCACAATTAATAACATATTTGTTGGTGGGATTTCCTAAAATAGTGTTGTCATTTTATTATGAAATAAAAATGTATAACTATATAAAAAATACATTTTATTTTTTCTTTTGTATGAATTGCATTATGGAGACATATATACCAAAGTTTTAATTTTTGTAATTAGCAATGAAGGACAATCTTACTTCATTAAATGATGTCCTATTGTGCTTGGATTGCCATAACAATATACCATTGATTGAGTGGCTTAGAAATTTATTTTCTCACAGTTTTGGAGGTCAGAGGTCCCAGATCAGAGTCTGGCAGAATCTGTTTCTGGTGAGGTCTCTCTTTCTGGCTTGGAGACAGTCACCTTCTTTCTGTGTCCTCGCATGGTAGAGACTAAGAAAACTTTGGTGTGTCTTCTTATAAGGATACTAATCCCATTGGACCAGGGCCCCACCTTCATGACCTCATCTAACTAATTACCTCCCAAAGGCCCCATCTCCAAATACTATCACGTTAAGAATTAGGACTTCAACATATGAACTTAGAGGAGACATAAACATTGAGTCCATAACAAAGGATTAAACATTAAAGCACTCCAAATTAGTGAGTAAAAGTGGATGTGTTTCTGTCTCTTAAGGAGATATGTTACTAGGTTGATGCAAATGAATATTCAAGAATGAGCAGGACTGTGGCTTATTTTATATTATTGAACATACTGGATTTCATTTGATTGGAGCAAATTTTAATTCCTCTAACATTTCTACTGGTGGTATGGCATAGAACTCTTGTGTCAGAACTTTCATTTTCCAAAATCCTAATGGTAATTATTTACATTTCCCTAGTGTTTTACACTCATAGAATACTTCTACATACATCATTCACAGTAAGCCTGTGACATGGGGAATATCTCTGTTTTCTATCTCAAGAAAAGCTCATTTAGTATAATATTCATATTTGATAGATAAATTCAGTTTATTTAAGTAATCTCTACACCCATTGTGGGTCTTGAACTCATGACCCTGAGATCAAGAGTCACACGCTTTTCTGACTGAGCCAGCCAGGTGCCCCTAAAGAAATTGAAGTTCAAAAAAGCTAAATTACTTGTCCAGAGTCACCCAGTGACTGGAAGTAAGGCTTTCGGATTTTTCTCTATAGTGCTCTTGTCACAACACAGCCTCCTGACAGGAGTATTTTCATGCCACATAACTCTATTTACTTCTTATGGTATTTGGTTAGAGAGCCGTGGTTCATATGAATGAATGAGAAGAACTGTTTCAGTGGAGCTCTTTCATAGAAGAAAGGCGAGAAGTATCTATTTGAACTGAGGCTAATCAAAACAAAGGCAGCTGTGTAAGTGGAGCTTGGGCGTTGGATTCAGACATCAGAGCTTCACGGCTTTCTAGCTTTGTTAATCTCTGAGCCTCAGTTTCCTTATCTATAAAAATGAGAATATTATAATGTCATTCCCACAGAATTATAAAGATTAAATTAATACATTAGCGAATGGGAAGTACCTAACCCGTAATAGAGGCTCAGTAAATGTCCGTTCCCTTCCTCTTGATCTGTGGAAAATATTTTTGGTTTTTCAGGCAGGAAGAACTAGTTGGACCAACTATGAACTATGGACCAGTTCTATGGACCAACACAGAACTGTGTTCTATAAGGAAAATTTCTAATTCATGTCTAGATTTTTAAAAATTTAAAATTAAGAAGATTCTAATTGAAGTATAATTGATGTAGAATATTAAATTAATTTCAGGTGTACAACATAGTAATTCAGTAATTGTGTACATTGTGAATGTTCACCATGATGTGTATTACACTATTATTGACTGTATTCTCTATTTTCATCCTGGTGACTTATTTACTTTATAACTGGACGTTTGTGTTAATCCTCTTCACCCATTTCACCCATCTCCCTACCCTGCTCCCCTTTGACAGCCCCCAGTTCTCCATATTTATGAGTCTGTTTCTCTCTTTGTTGTTGTTTGTTTGCAGTTTGTGACAACATGGATATACTTGGAGGGTATTATGCTAAGTGAAACAAGCCAGACAGAGTAAGACAAATACCATATGATTTTACTTATATATGGAATATAAATAAACAAAACAGATGAACAAAGAAATAAAATTTGTAAGAGCTCCCAGAACATTGTCAGGCAGATCGCTACTCTCCAGGGGTTGGTGAAAGCCTCTTCCCCAGTGAGTGCGACCAAGGGAAAAGCTGAAGATGCTGCTATCAGGGGCTCCCGACACACAGCCCACCGAGATCACCCTGTAGTGAGGCTCAGAGTTAATGATCCTTTCAGTATTTCCAGAAACTTTATTTTAAAGAGCTTTGTGGTATATCTTGAAATCTGGGATTCTGATACCTCCATTATCTTAAGGTTGCTTTGGCTACTCAGGATCTTATGTACTTAACATATAAGTTTTAGGGTTATTTGTTCTAGTTCTGTGAAAAATAATATTGGTGTTTTGATAGGGATTGCATTGAATCTTGGATTGCTTTGGGTAGTATGGGCATTATAACCATGAGCAAGATATGTCAACATTTGTTTATGTTGTCTCAATTTCTTTCATCAGCGTTTTATACTTTTCAGAGTATCAGTCTTTTTTTTTTAATTTTATTTTATTATGTTACGTTAGTCACCATACGTCATTAGTTTTTGATGTGGTGATCCACGATTCATTGTTTTCATATAACACCCAGTGCTCCATGCAGTACATGCCCTCCTTAATACCCATCATCAGGCTAACCCATCCCCCCACCTGCCTCCCCTCTAGAACCCTCAGTTTGTTTCTCAGAGTCCATAGTCTCTCATGGCTCATCTCTCCCTCCGATTCCTCCCCCTTCATTTTTCCCTTCCTTCTCCTAATGTCCTCCATGCTATTCCTTATGTTCCACAAATAAGTGAAACCATATGATAGTTGACTTTCTCTGCTTGACTTATTTCACTTAGCATAATCTCCTCCAGTCCCATCCATGTTGATGTAAAAGTTGGGTGTTCATTCTTTCTGATGGCTGAATAATATTCCATTGTATATATGGGCCACATCTGCTTTATCCATTCATCTGTTGAAGGGCATCTCGGCTCTTTCCACAGTTTGGCTATTGCGGACATTGCTGCTATGAACATTGGGGTGCATATGGCCCTTCTTTTCACTACAGCTGTGTCTTTAGGGTAC